CAGAGTACTCGTTATGTGTGTCCACTCGGTGCAATTTTGGCCATTTGTTAATTATTGCTGCAATACTATTTATTACAGTATCGGAACTTCAGAAGAGTTTACTGAAGAAATACGAGCACGCAGACATATGAGATGACTCCAGAATTTAATCTAAATGCAACCGTAGACGACTCCTACCAGTATAAAGTAATGAATTTATCTTTATTGTCGTCAGTTCACTTCAGATTTTAAATCTGATTGCACCCGTAGACGACTCACACTAGTGTGAAGTAATAAGTGCATCAATATCTCCAATTCACTTCAGATTTTAAATCCAAATGCGATCGTAGACGACTGCTACTAAATTCATTTCATATGTAAATGCAACCGTAGACGTCTCCTACCAGTGTAAGGTAATAAATTTATCGTTGTCTCCAATTCACTTCAAATTTTAAATCCAAATGCAATCGTAGACGACTGCTACGTTTCTAAATTCATTTCATATTTAAATGCAACTGTAGACGTCTCCTACCAGTGTAAGGTAATAAATTTATCATTGTCTCCAATTCGCTTCAGATTTTAAATCCAAATGCAATCGTAGACGACTGCTACGTTTCTAAATTCATTTCATATTTAAATGCAACCGTAGACATCTCCTACCAGTGTAAGGTAATAAATTTGTCATTGTCCCCAATTCACTTCAGATTTGTCAATATTAATGCAACCGTATATGACTCCTACCAGTCTGAAGTAGTAAATGTATTATTAATGTCTCCAATTCACTTCAAATTATAATCTAAATGCAAAACCGTAGAGGACTCCTACCAAGTGTGAACTATAAAATGTATCGTTACAATGTCTCCTATTCATTTCAGACTTTACATCTTATTGCAAACGTCGACGACTCCTATCAGTAAAATGTAATAAAAGTACCATTGATGCCTTTTTTTTATCTACCTGTGTTGGCTGATTTGTATGGGGCCTTCCTTAAGTATCAATTGGCATGGCCTATGGTGTGGTAGGACGCGACACATCTTCAACGACATTATGTTTCACAAGTCCATTTTATTCGTCTGGGATCATGCCCAATGAATTTATATCTACATCCCCATAGCAACGATTTAGTTCAACATACAATGCGACTGTTGCTATTCAGAATATGTGTATGAGCGCCCAGGAGTGTCCGAGGGCACGTGCATGCCCATGTAACTGTGCGGTTGTGTAGGAGTTGGTTTGGGTTTCCTCTTCTGCGAATTGGCCATAGGGTTGGTTTGTATCTTCAGCAGTGACATCTCGGGATTGTGGTAACTTGTAGAACTCACAAACTGTGCAATGTCGATCCGAAAGTATTCTACCTCACCGTCAACTTCCATCTGCTGTTCGCCATATTCAGTCGCTGTGAAAACACCGATTGTATATGAGCTACATCCACTGAGATTTGCAGGTGAAGGCCAAGCTATAGTCTGAATTGTAAAGACATATTAGGCCTACCTTCTAACCATAAATCATGAGAGCAGTATACAACAAGCCCATTTGTATGTTGACAGTACAGCAGATGCCCTTCCTGAAATTAGCATTTGCCTTCAATTTAAACGTGTACGAACGAATCGAGAAACACTTGAGAGCAAGAACGAAACGAATTAAACAGTCAGACAATTCATTGCGAACACGATCAAGCACATAGTGGGCCCATTTGTTGAAAATATCACGGTTATAGGACATACTTGTAGCTTTGATGGGAGCGAAGTATAGTACTGGAGTGTACCGTCGGAATGACACCAATAGTACGTCCTTCTTGTTAGCAGGCTGAGTGGATTAAATTATGACATGCATGAGTGAATAGAGCCCTCAAATTTCGAAACTAACAATTGCACTGAGTGATTCCAATAGCTCGCAAAGGTAGTATAGTAATAATCTGCACAGCCACAAGTTGTGAATATTGGCTGTGTATGCAATTCTCCAGACTGGGCTACATTCGATAGGTTCCGCTAATATTTCCCGCAGGAGAGATTTGATTGTCAAAACATACATACATTGTTTGTCAATCGAATTTTCTCAAATGATACACATTTATCCATCCAAACGGATCCCCTGGCTGGTGAGTCTGTGTGGTTGTACATTTCGACATTTGCTGAATTCTTCTCCTCGCTGCGCGCACGCCCTGTGGGGATACGTATCATAATTCAATATATTGTGCACTTTCTAACATGGCTTTAAATGAAATATGTCCCCCCGCGCCACTGCCTCACTCAATACTATTTATAGATATACACTTCACCATGTATCAATCGCATGACGAGACATGAAGAACTTACTCGCTCTTGGCCGAATCTCCCATCGCCCCTCCGATGACTTCCATTTCCAACACTCGCCCTCGTCGTCTTCTGTGGCAAAATGAAGCCAAACAGCATACAGTTGGTTTGGATCTAAACCTTTGACCATAAACTTTAGCCTCGGAAACATTTGCCTACCCTTAGTGGAAGCAATCATTTCCGTATCGTGCCTCCTAAATTGGCCCCACAGATCTGCCCTGTGTACGGTAACGGATGCAGCTTGTGGCGCCATGTCTGATTCGTCATTTTCCTGTCTACGATCATCTTGACTGTACTTGTACTGAGTTTCAGATTTGGTGTACAGAGCATTTCCCGGAGGTACCAAAGCAATTGGATTTGAAGCTGGGGTAATTGCGACAGTAGATGGGCCTAATTGACTTTCATGCTTTCCCTCGTGTATGTGATTTGCTTGGTGTTCACTCGGGCATATGCTGTACTCAAGGTGCTGTGGGCCTTGCTGTTGTGTGCTACGTGCAGGTGTTATATTTAACGGTCTGATAGCTGTAGGTGTGTTCATATATGACCGATAGTTGTGATGTGAACTGACAGGTGATTCGGGCGGAAGTAACATAGGCGTAGTGATCCCTGTGGTTTTCGAATTCAGATTTGATAGTGTGTCGAACATGCTTGTCGATAAAGATGATAAGGGCGGTAATGAACCGTTTGCACTCAAGTGCTCGGTAGACTCAAAGTTGAAGTCATGTAAGTCAGAGGCTGAGAATGCCGACTTTAGAGCCTCATCTATTGTAATCTGTCTCTTGACTGCATCGGCTAGCAGTGGTTCAACGTTTGAGTTCCGGTTGTAAGGGGTTTGATGCGAAGCGGCTCTTTGATATGATGTGTATCCGCTATCTATTGTTTTCCTCCTTTGTGTAGGTGGACTGCATTCTGTGGATGTTGTGGTGCCAGTATTTGTGTTGCTGTACTGTAAGCTGTCTATACTTGGCGAGAATGTGTGTGGTAAAGGCGAGTCCAAATAAGTTGGGAGGCTTCCGGATAATAACGGCTCTTCCTCAAGTATTGCCTCGTCTGGTGATGATGGAAATAACTTGCGACTTATTGGTTTTAACCGGTGCGGGTACGGCTTGCTTGATGAGGTCTCTATTGAAGGACTCTGTGGAGCGATTGCTGGATCGGTCGCCAATTTGTGAATGTTAGGTGTGTGTTGTACCTGTGACTGTCGACAATTCCTAATATCTTCGTCTTGCAAACACGAGCCCAATAAGCCCAATGCAGTAGCGAAATTATTTGCTCTTTCGGCTTCCCCACTACCGTGATCGGATTTCTCATTTGTGAGAACATCGTCAACTAAATCTATTAGTTTTTGTGACAGTGCAAACCACTCATTTATATCACTATCGCCTGTTGCCTTTATGTCATACAGCTCTGGTATGTTCTCTGAGTTGCCTAAATTTTGCTGGGATGATTCTTTATCAGCGCACACACCGGTACTAAAGGAACTGAGTGCATCATTTACGGATGCGTTTGGCGTGAGCATCTTGTGCGCGGTAGATTAATGCTGCATCAGTCATTATGTGAGCCAAAGAACAATAACATTCATATATATCCCTCGTTCAGTACAATTTAAAATGTGATTTAACTGAATGGACACGTATGATCAGCGGGCAAATCCTGACAACAACGAGCGAAAATTTACTCAACCAATATCATTGAGAAAATGGGATAGATGCTGTTTACGCATATTGTACGGTTACAAAGCTATTGAAAACGTATTTTTTCAAATTGATAGGATGGTATGTATCAGCGGGCTGAAACGCTGAAAGTAAAAACATTACTCTTATCAGTTTGATCCTGATTTCCATCGCAACACAGTGTCATCGACAGTGTGCGAGGTCTAAAAACCAACCCACTCACAGACATTTCAATCTGTGTTGATCTAATCCACCAATGGGAAATCTGTTCCTTGGAAAATACTTTTTTTATATTCGGGAGAAGAATTTTCGTCTTTTTTTTAATTCCAATACGCTGCTGTGAAGTGTGGACCTGTGGACTGTGGACTGTGGAGGCTGTGGCTCTGTGCCCTGACTGGCGTGACAGCCCTCTCTAGTCTCTTGGGCTTCTTTGATTTTTTTATTGTTTTCTTTGTATAAAACTTTTTTGTTGAAAAAACATATTTAGGTTAAATACAGTTTTTTTGGTTTTGATTTATCTTGTTTTAAAAATAAAAATAAATTGTTTTAGAAAAAACAAAACAAAATATAGCTTTTCGGCTAAATATCGTGATTTTTTTGATATGCGCGAATGTCCATGTATGTATGTGTTTGCGTGTTGTATGTGTGTGTATTTGTGTGTGTGTGTTTTTATGTGTGTGTATATTTGTGTATATATGTACATCTACGTCTACATGTACGCATGCATGTATGCATGTATTTGTATACGTGTTTGTGTATGCTGGCACGCACGCATGCATGCATGCATGCATATGTATGTATGTATGTGCATGTATTCATGTATACATTCATGCATGTAAGTATGCATGTACGTACATATGTATTTATGTATGTATACATGCATGTATGTATGTATATATGTTTGTATTTACTTATGGTATGCATGTATGTATGAATGTATATATAAATTATATATATATATATATATGTGTGTGTGTGTGTGTGTGTGTGTGTGTGTGTGTGTGTGTGTGTGTTGTGTTGTGTTGTGTCTGTGTGT